CCCGTTGTTGTTCCTTGCAGCAGTTACTGGAAGAGCGACTCGTCCCCACGCCTGTTTGTTCCAAAAGGTGCTTTTTCGGTGCTGCTAAATTGGAGGGGGACGAGGGGAAATGCACGTTTGCACTTGGTTCTCTTTAAAAATTGTGGTATTGAGTAACATGGATTGTGATAGCTTTCGGGGGGGAAAAAAAAAAAACAAAAATGTAGTGGAAAGCACTCTGGTCAGTTCACTGAACGTGTATAAGCTGCTCAGGCCTTTTGCAGCAAAACAACTTGAATTGCAAATGCAAGTTCTTATGTCTTCTCCTAGCTTGTTGACTTTGTTGCTCTATTCAGTAAGAGGAATGGGAATGTAAATAACACAGCTCAAACTCTTCTCGTTTTTCCAGCCTGATGATTATTTCAGTTTTCTCCCTAGATTCAGCTTGGATAGCATTCTTATACAAAGGTGGGAAATTTTCTTTGGCAGAAGGAAAATAATAAATAGATAATAAATTTGCTTTTTATTTCTCAATTTGTTTTATTCCAAGTTGTATTTCAATCCTCTCTCTGTGATAATGCTTACGGATGAATGGACCTAACTGTGGTGTAATTTGATTGCAATCCCTTATCATACTGTTGAACTTCATGCGTTGAAATTTCACTCTGATTTGGGGCTCATCCCATTTGGCTCACCACTGTTGTTGTTGCAGTGTAAAGTACATCAGCACCTTGTTTACTGCTGTCCCTGAATACTCAACAGGGCATTACAGGCTCTTCAATCTTAAATTTCTATTTTTAATGTGTTGTTGCATTATAATTGAAAGTGGTTGCTGATTTGGAGGGGGGGGGGATTGTTGCTCCCCCTCCCATGCTTAAAATGTCACTGTTAACGTCAACAGTGAAATCTTTAAATCTGTCACTCCTGATTCATAGACTGGGTTTTGGTAGGTTTTTTTTATTTTTTTAGTTTCAGGGAAGGTCCTGTTGTCTTTTTGTTTCACACTACACATCATAAACATTGGAAAGCTGTGAAAGGGTTAAGACAGTAAGATAAGCCTTTTGGGGTGTGTTACCTTGTCCTGCATTTGGGTGCAGCACTTGGCAGTTTGGTATTGCCTCTGGTCACTTTTCATGCACAGTGAGTATCCAGCTTTCCCTAACTTTCATGGAGTCTCACTGGTCAGGAGCAAAACTGTTTGTGGGAAGGTTTGTTGGTATGGAAAACTTCTGTTTATTTCCCTTTTGTTTGTTTTGTTGTTTTTGCAAACAGTAGAGGTGCAGGGGAGAGAAGAGGAAGCTTGTTTGTGTCATTCTTGAGACAAGTGATAGTACTGAAACATTGCTTTCTCCTGTGTGCTTTTTACGTGCCCTGAGGCAGACAAGGTCCCTGCCCCACGGACCTTCTGCTCTGATGGACAAACACCCTGCATGTGAGGAAGGTGAGGGTCTCTGGGAGATGCAACTCCATAAATTTATAATCCCGCTGTTTATTTTTCTTTCTCCTTTAAAAACTGAATGGGCCCAGGAGACAACAATGTTTTATATGGGTGCAAAGACACATCTCCCCTCCCAGTCACCCCGTCTGAGAAGGACTACTTGGGGAGAGGAAAGGGGAAGGTGGCCTATGTCGCTGCTAATATTTTCTGATGAAATAACAAAGATGCCAGTTACTTACACCACATATGTTTTTCCCATTGAGACCTTAAACAGAGTTTTTACCTGTGCTGCAAGGATGCCAGTAAGGAATAATGATTTGTGGGACAGATGTGATCCAAAGAGGTGGCAATGACATCATCAGTATCCTTATGTTAGTCATGCAAGAAACTACAAATTTTACATAGGCTCTTCTGAGAAGTCATCTGGGGGGAGCATTAGAGTCTCTTTCGTGTTCTCATACACCAGGGAAAAGGGCTGGAACAATTTTTTGAATCTTGTATGTTTTTCTTAATCCTCTTGGGAAGGAAAAGTAACAAATCTCCCTCTTTTTATTTGGCCTTTTGCCACTTTCAGTCTGCCCTGGTACATGGCATGAGCCTTGTACTTCAGCTTCTGCTACAATAGCAGTATTTTTTTGAACAAAGAACAGCAATTTTGGAACTATTCTGATGGCCAGAAGCAAGAAAGCAGTTAATGAGGTGAAGAGGTGAGACCAGCAGTGAATAAAACGGTGGGCTGAACCCAGCCAAAAGAAAACCACCGTTAATCATAACTTTAAGTTAGGCGTGAGGTATTTTATGCAAAGTTGCGTTAAGACAGGTAGTCCAGAAATAAATAACAGCGAAACTCCTAAGCAGTTACACTGAGCAATGTGCTGTTGATGCTCTGCTTGTGTAAGTGCAGCCCTGTTGATTTCAGCGGAGCTCTGCCAGGCACCCTGGTGGAGGATCAGATCCGTGTAATTTTTAGTTGCATGCTGAAGATTTGCACGTCTCTAATCTCTTTGCTGTTGCTGTCGTCATCATCCTAGTGTTTTACTGATGGTGTTGTGTCCGTGTTTGGCTTGAGAGTTCCTTGGTGCCCAGAAACTTCACCTATTCAGAAGGCATGCTGTGTGCTTATGTATGCAAATAGAACAGCTGTGCCTGGTTTTTAACATCGCATCCTTTTTCTTTTGTACATGCCTCAGTAAATGTTGGTTCTCTGAGGGAGAGAACTGTGCTCATCTGTAAACTCCCACCTTCAGCTGCCTGTGTGCTGCAAAAAGGAGAGCTTCCCTCCTGCCAGAATTAAGTGTGCCCGGTTCCTTGGTCACAGTTAAACCATCTCAGGCTGTTGGGTGGTGTGCTGCAGGTAACCTGCTTGAGGACTTGACAGACATACTAATGTGCTGCTACATTCCTGTCTTGATTTTTTTTTTTTCCTAATTGCAAAATATTTTTAACTGCATCTCCTTTTCCTGCATATGAATTAAATCTGAATGGAGAGGGAGGAGGGACAGTCTTGGATAATGCTTGCACTGAACCACCGGTGCATGCAATAGGTAGAAGGAAGGTGAGCCTGACCTTGTGTTTTGAGTGTATATAAAAATACATGGAGAGTTTAGGTCCTGGTGTACAAAGTGGGGTCAGGGTTCTTCCAAGGACTGTATTGGTATAATGTAATTAGCCTGGTTTCTGGGTAGTACTTCGGTAGACCCTTGAACATCTGGAGTCAATGAGTTAAGTAGCCTTTCCTCTCTACATTCCGGTACCTAATATAAAGATTTGGTGGTAAACCGTAAAATAAAGTAGTTGAAGGAGAATGGTATTATTTAAATTCTAATGACATTAAGTTATAACCAGGATGAAGTTAAGAGGTTAGTTTGTTTGAAGGGCTGGGCAGTTAAAATAATTGTAGGTCATGTGTCTAGCGTCACAGCTTTAAAAATCTCTGAGAGTTTTCTCATACTGTTTAGTTTGAGATGGTTATTATTTCAGCTTGGTGAAGAGAAGGAACAAGCCCTCCACGTGTAAAGGGTAAGACCTTGGTCACAGAAATGTTCAAGGCAGCCATTTCAAAAGCATCTGTCAGTCTGGTTTCCTTCCCAAGATGCTCAGGTCTTACTGGAGAGGTGCATTTTGTGTATACTGGTGACTTGAAGCAGAATTACAGTCAGTTTGCAAGCTTGCAGATTTACAGAAAGCTGGCCATGCGAGTGAGAGACCTCCCAGAGAAGCCGGATGGGGTGGCAGAGCCAGGCTGCGCTCTGCCCCAGGTTTGGTGCTGCTTGTCGTGCTGCCTCTACCACGGGATGCTCGGAGGCAGGGGGTATGCTTAGAGTGGGGAGGTGCTTAAAAATATTCATTTTAATAAAAATGTAGCAAGAAGTAAACAGTGATAAACTGTACAGAATAAGCTAGGTTTTCTTTGGTCTTTGAACAAATAATGAAACTAGGTTTGTTAGCTAAGTTTGTGATGGTATTTTTGGTGATCTGTCCCTTTTGCTTAGTAATAATTGACACCTCTACTTAGGAACAGTGTGTTGTTGCTATTAATAAAAGTGTTTCTCATTCTCTCATCACTTGTTTACTGTCTAGGTGTCCTGAAATTGGAGATACTGTAATAAAAGGTCTATTTTGGATTTCAGAGCATAATAGGACAAACGTGCTTAAAATGTATCATTTGAGGACGTTGAAGAGATCAGTAGCCTGTTTCCTCTGGTATGAACTCAGACAAACAAAGGTTGCTTATGCCCTTTTATGAAATACAGATCGTTCTGCAACGTTGGGGGATAATCTGGCAAAGGCAAGTTACTCCTGTTGTTAACACACACACACACACACACCCCCCCCCTTTTGCCATCCTGTGTGTCCTGGGAAGACCACTGAATAAAGGCTTTTGCAGGTTATGAGAGAGTGTTTACTCATCTAAAACAGGTTGCTTATGTTTTCTTTTGGTGTGGCAAAGACTCTCAAATGCCTTGAGATTCCCCCTCCCCCCATGATACTATGTGCCTGTGGTATCTGAGGTTTGGGGACT